AGCATGGTTAAAATAACATCATCAACATAGATTTGCTACAAGACAGTCAAGGTGGGCTAGGTTTTAAAAATTTCGCAGTCTGGAATTCGGTTAAAGTGGCAGAATAAATCTCTGAGCAGGTAAGCAGACACACTGTGGGTAAAGTGGAAAATCAAGTTAATTTGAAAAATGCTGATTTTCTGGCATACCAAATCAAGCAAGACACAAGTTGGCATTGGACAAATCAGACCCTTTTGACCTAATGATACTAAGCATCTCCCTTAAGTTTTTGTTAAAGCGTGACTAAGTGATGCTGTGAATCCAACCTTTCCATCGATATGATAGGTGTGTGAATTCTTTCCGCAACTGAAGGTTGTTAAAAAAAAAAAATGGTTGGCATTGGACGAAGCTTGGGAAGCTTAGGGACAAAACAACATCAGGCTTTCACGGAGGACAAGGTATTCAGGAGGGCAATGTAATTGATATAAATGACTATTTAGGGATAAATTTTTTACGTAGGGGCTAAGAATTACCCGGGGGAAATTGAATATACCTAAGCACTCTTGTTATGGTGGACTGCGAAAATTTCAAACACAGGTAGATAACTATAAATCCACTTTGTGTGAGATGAAGCGGAACTAAGAGAACATTTGTTCTTCCATGGTAGCTGGTCAATACGACTTCTTGGACTATTTGCAAAGCAGCATAATTGGTTTGATTTACCAACTGACTATAATAGATGGATTGGTTTTTATATTTTTGCATACAGGCAGGGTTAAAATCAAGAGGAATGTTCTCTGGCTTCTTGTTGCAGCAACTAGTTGTCATGATATTTAGAGATGAAAAGAATGAACAAGATTAAGGAGAAAATATCTATCACCAATATTTCAGAAAGAACAAATTTGCTAGAATGACCTGGTTAAGTAGTTTACCTTCTAGTTGTTTTTTTTTTTCTTCAAATAGAAAGTGTATATCATATAATCAACAAGAAACTATTGTCCCTCATCAACCGCCACCTGTTATCTAACAAGTGAGAGTTGATCAAGGATACAAAAATTTGCCTCCACTTGATGAAAGGACCTAGCTAAGTGATCAGCCAAAAACAAGTTTTTCTTAGAGGAATGTCTCAGAAAAACCTGCCAATCTCTAAGCAAGGCTAACCTTCCTCAATAATGTCTCTGAAGGGAAGACCAGCATCATACCCTCGTTTACCTTTCAGTTTCTGTAGATCTCTTCTTTTGCCCCCAGTAGTTTTATAAGAATAAAATACTTTGTAGAAGGCGTCTATTCCTCAAGTATCCCTTGATGTTGTATGTATGAAAATTTCTCAGAGCTACTCTAGGAGTCAGAATCTGATAAATGATGACTAGTAATGCATCTTTAAAAGTGAACCATACACTGCGAAGAAAGTTCTTGTAACAAGTGCTGTTTCTTCAAGTACCAGCTTTTGAACTGAAAGATTAAAACAAAGGCACACTAGTTTCTTCTTGGATCATAACACACGCAATATTTTATATATATATATACACACACACATATATGCAAAAGTAAAGATTGCATTTCATGTATTTTCATTCATTCGTACATCATAGGTACATGGGAAGAGAAAAAGATAAGCCTAGTTACATTGATTGGACTAATAGGATTTTGAATTTAGGTAGAAGAATTTTGAAGCATAGCTTCTGGCAAACTGATTTTGGTCCACCAATATTGTAATTAGTGTAGTGAGCAACTCAGGTCTCTGGCAGTCCAATCTGTAATTCAGTTTGCACAAATGAGCTTAATCTGCTTTTACTTGAACTCTGTTGTGCTACTTCTTTTTGTTTAGCCCATTGCTGCCATGTCTTTTCTCCGAACTGCACCAACAGTATCGTAGGACAAGAAAATTTTACGACCTACAGATTCTGGACAAAGTTATTAGGCTTTTATAAGTTGGAATGCCTGTCCCATTACAGATTGTGGGGACAATACAAAGCTCCTTGTCATAATTTATTTTTGGGAATGAGTTTTGGTGCTAAGCAAACTGATGAACACCAGTAGCTCATCATCACTATGCACTGTTCAAATCTAGTTTGGATCATTAAATTAGTTTTTTACTTTTATTTTTCAAAAAAATATTTTAATGTATACAAAATCTAAAACATATAAATAATATCTTCACTGCCAGTTTTGCCAAAAAAAAAACATTATATAAAAATGATGGTTGAAAATTTTAAATTTAGGCTGTTGAAACTAGTTTGAACTGTGCAGATCTCACAATAGTGATCAGCATTGAAACTAATTCCTTACTTTTGTAGTTATCATGAATTTACTTTACAAAGAGACTCTCACTCCACAATCCAACTTCATTACAAATGAATGAAATTCATGTCATAATGGTATTATTTGGTCAGGAAACATTATTTGAAATTATGCTGAAAAAACAATTGCCGTTTTGAGTTAGCTACTAATTATACACTTAAACCCTATTTAGGATCTTCACATGAAGATCGACTCTCAAATTGGTCCTTGAAGAATTTTCACTCTCCTAAGCCTAATAATCCTTTCATTTTTTACTTTTGCTAAACACAAGTATCTTCTTATTAAAGACAATCATGTTCAAGACACTATCGAGCATTAAATGTGGACTGCTCTTCTAGGATGGATTCAAACTTTTGGTTTACTAAATTGTGAGGAAATAGCCCTTTCTGCTATTGTAAAAAATAAAAGAAGGAAAAAAAATGAAAACCTATTAACAATCAAGCGCAGATCTCGTCTATTTTGAATGATGTTCATACGTCAACTACTGCACCAAAAAAAAAAGGGTAAACTCAGATACAAGCAGCCTAATAAATGAGGCCCAAAAAGGTGAAAGAGAAATATACTTTTTGTCGCAAATATTAGTTGGGACAGTATCTTTTGTAACAAAGCGGGCTATGTGGGCCTGATGTTGTGAAAACGAACCAGCACAGGGGGGGGGGGGGAAAGGGATGTTCTATTGATGCGAGGAGTTGATTGCTTGATTTGTGAAAGATGATAAATCTATTATTAACCTTATGCGTAAAAGAAATACTACCTCTTATCTTCAATATAAAAGTTACTTAACTAATTTGAATATGTTAAAAAAATTAGTTAAGCTAGTTATTTGTAATAAATATGAGTTGATTTTTCTAAAGTATCTTTTTAATCATGACTCTCTTTGGATAAAACTCTTCAATATGGGTAATCAATAGGGATACCTTAAAGGATTTGGGAGATAAAATGGATTGAAATCTTATATTTAAGGCCAAACCCAATCCCTAACTAGTTCTTATATTAAGAACCAAAAGTAGTATAATATCTATAATCATAATGTAAATTTTAAGGTTTAAAGACAAATGGTTTACCCGTAATTATCAACACCTCTAACTTATCCATTCTCAATTTTCACTCTCAATATTCCTCCTAGTACTAGTCTTAGAGGGACTAGGTTCAACATTTAAATTCCCCAGTATTAACTATGGACAAGCCCCCCCCCCCTCAGTAAAAATGTACAAGGCTAATTGATACCAAAATACATACACTTTCATCTTGTAACATGAGTTAAGACAATTGATGAACATGAAGCAATAACAGTTTTATAGCTTGTCCAGTGCAGATGCCAAATTCTCAATTTCAAGACCTTGATTATCATCAGGAACTGTTGTAAGATGAATTTCAATATTGCTTGACATAAGACATACTTTATGCTTTTGAGGGGAAAAAAGACATTATCATCCAATCTGACAATGATGACCTTTTTAAGAGATAGTAAGAGGTAACTGAGATTAGAATTTGCTTATTTTCATTGTTGTTCAAATTCAAAACACTAGTTCAATTAAGCTCCTATATATATAAAACAGTGATCAGTGGAACTTATGAAGATCATCCTTCACACGTTAAAAAATCATTAGCTTCAGTTGGTCTGCATATCTAAGAAATCTCACGAGAATAAAGCTCTCAAAATCCCAGGTCAGAAGGAAGGGGGGTGGGGAAGCGCCCAGGTTATATCTTAGAGAAACAGAAAAACAACCAGAAGAGAGAGAGAGAGAGAATAACATTGTAACAAGAGGACATAGAATGGGTTAGCTACGAATTGGTGGCTTTGTAATAGTTACTTTCAATCATGATGAGGAGACAAAATCCGAAGAAATCTGTTAGAACCTGGTTTTGACTATGGAGGTTGGATTACTGATCATGGAAGTAAGCTATAATGTTCGAATGAAGCAAAACAGTTCACCAACCATGTCATAGGCAGTGTGAAAATGTTTTTAAAGACTGTACAACCTGTAGAAGATAAAATGAAGACAGAAGCTAGAGGTTTTTAATTTTATAGGACGAAATTCATGTTCAAGATTTACTTTGAAAATCAGTTGGAATAAAAGTTAATTATTTTTACAAATGCTAATTCAAACAAACCCCTTAAATAGTTTATATTAAGGTCAGTAACGTTTTCGAGCTTTATTTGGGGTAAATTTTATTCCAGAAATTGCCCATGAGAACAACTGAATCTGGTTTGACATGAGGGGGGAAAAAAAAAGGATAATATCCTCTCGCTGATTTCCATTAGTTCATGTTGACTACTACATTGTAATACTTTGAATTTTGAAGTCTCCAATTGGGAAATGAATTTCAAGTCAAACAAGATGATATCAGGGGAGTTTGGCAACTCATATAAGCAATTAAAAAAGGTGCTTTCACATAAGTCGAGACAAAACTCTTCTTACATATCCTGAATTCAGAAAACTATGCAATAATTTTAAACTGCATGGTTTTTCTGAGGCAAAAAAGTATGTGATAATTTGATGGAAACAAACAGTTAGTCTTCTATTTACATTTGTTAATTTATGCTAAAAAGCGATCTGATCAAGCATGCATGTATATCAACCAGATATACAGAATCCTTTCTTTTTTTTTTCCCCTCCTAATGAGTTCCGGAAAAGAGAGCATGCATGCATAAATAAATGTTACATAACACATCAGTTGTAGTGTACTCTAGTTAGTATGAGAAATAGCTGAGGTACCTCATTTTTCAGTTGCTCACGCTGCTCCCTAAATAGCTGAGCCTGCAGGAAAAAGGATATAAATTAAAAATAAAATTATGATTTCCTCAGTAACGGCAGTTTCATGAAGACATCAACAAAACCCATTAATTTGGTTTATTTCCTTTGACTTGGGTAATTCAATGGCTGATTAGTATTAGAGTATAATTTGAAAGCATATATAGGATCTAAAAGCTTCTGTCAGTTTGTATTTTTTCATTGTACTTGTATTTGGTTTCCATGGTGGGAGGAAATGGGAGGAGATGGAAAGGCACTACAAATAATGGAGGATTTGGATTTGGGATTTCCGGCCCATCATTTTTGTATTGTGTCTACTAGAGCTTTAACACTCACTTGGATATGCTTATTTGAGTGCTTAGAAGCACATTTTATGTAGACCGAGATAAAATTCCTCTCATATGCGTACCTTGTATTATGTAAATCATGATTAAAAAGTTACTTATAAGCCATTGCAAATGAGTCCTTAGGCTTAGCTTGTCTCCAAGTCTCAAGATCTTGGCTTCGTTAGGTTAATACAAAGTATGCCTATTTTGTATTCATCTAGAGATACTAGGAGAGAAGCGGGGAAAAACCTAAAATTACATGTCCTAGTGCTTGAGGATGGCCCAAGTCAACTCACCCAACTTACAAAAGAAATAAAGAACTCAAATATTTGAGATGATCAAAATTTTCTATTCATTGTTCTTTGATACTTTTGATGCTGGGTCCAAGCCAAGCCAATTAATTACACTAATTTTGGTTCAAAACCTGGGATTTGGAAGTTTCTAAAAAAGATGAAATTTTGAAGGAGTAGACCTTCACATTCTCATTCTTCCCTATTTTAAAAATAGCTTCATAAAATATTTATTTATATTTGTTACCTTTATTTATCCCGCTAGTCAAGTGGGGCCACCCACCATGAGTCTATCCCTTCCTTCGACCTCATTTTGTGCTATTAGGAACATGCATTTCTCAGTACTATGTACTCTATAAGTTATTTTCCTTCTGCTACTACTGCTGATCAAACTCCATTGTTCCAACCCTTTCATGTCAAACCGAGTTATTCTATTCTCAAAACCTTTGGTTGTTCATACCATCTCTCTTTAAGATCTTACAACAATCATAAACTCGCCTATATAGAACTCTGAATGTATACTTCTAGGATACTGCACCAATTATATTCTGGTTACACGTGCTTAGCTTCATTTGGTAGGCAATATTTTTCTCGAAATGTGCTGTTCATTTAATTGCTACCACTTCCTCAATAATAACCATTATTGCATGGTCTATATCTGATATGTCTCCGCCTTTCCGTGATCAAAATTACCCTTAGTATGTGCACCTTAATCTTATCCACATAATATTTCAAGTCCAATCACATCTCCTAGTTTTTCCTCTTGATTACAAACAACCTTTACCACACCAGAACTACCATTTAATCCTCAACCCACATGTTCTATTCATCCTATGATAACAAGAGCTAAGGTGGGTATTCTTAAGCCAATGCTTTAAGTAACATCCCAAACACTTTTATTAAGTTTTTTTTTTTGGTTATACACTGCCCGGTAATCCGGCGCCTTTGGCAACCGACTAATCTAGACTCGAGGGGGAGAGTGCCGCCCACACAGGCGAGGTTAGCCCCTCTCCCAACGAGAGCGCTTCCCGGGATTCGAACACATGTTCTCATCCTTACGGGGGTGAGCCCACTTACCAGCTCGACCAACTGCTCGTTGGTCACTTTTATTAAGTTAATTGAACGAGATAATGAAGGATTAATTAAGGTGACCCTCTTAAGGTGAAAGTTTAAGTAATTCGAAGGAAAAATTGTAACAACACAAGTAATTAAAGCAAAGTTCCTTAGTAATCAGACACAATTTGTTTAGTGGATTAATTGAAGGACCAAGTGAAATTACTTGATTAGAATGAGACTTTTAAAAATTGAACCAAAGAATAAACTATGAATTTTTGAAGTTTATAAAATATCACATCCAGTCTTTAATAAAAACCAGTTGGAGATTCAATTTGATTCTAAATATAAGACTTTAATCTACTTTGTTTGCCGTATTTATCTATTTCGCCCTCAAGTAACCCTATGATGATTGATCATGTTAAGAAGTCTCTATCAAGGATTGGTTTCGAGGCACATGATTAATAGAGGTATTTTAGGGAAAACAACATTCTTTTATTACAAATAACTAACTAAACTAATTTTTTTACTATTCAGAAATTAGTTATCTAGCTCCTATATTAAGGACCGGGGTAGTATAATTGTTCACAACTGAGGGCAGATATAGCTGTATGTGTTACAACCATGGGCAGACATGTAGTCAGACTTGGATGTATCATATGCAAAATAACATAAAAATGTAGGGAAAGAAGGAAAAATGTTAAGGCTCCACTAGGGCTTGAATTTTCATCCACTAGGGTGCATTTCCAAGCTTCCAAACACATAAATAAGTGTTAACTATTAGAAATTCATGCTATTTCAGCACTTTCCATTGCATTCGCCTATTTTTTGGGAATAACTTTTGCAAAAGAAATTGTGCATGGAGAAATGTGTAAAAGATTATTGAGAATTTCACTATTTTTAAATTGTGATTGAAGGTCCAAATGTAGTGGTTAAAAGCTTCAAGAAGATGGAAGGAAGAAAGCTAGAAGCAAATTAGAGAAGAAGTAGAAGAAGCAAAGTGAGAAAGATCTCTATTTTGTCCTTCACTATAGCAAAGGATATCATCTGCTATAACCAGAGTTATGCAACTCCAAAATGTGCTCTCTGTGTCATTCGTTATAGTGAATGCGCATGTTTGCTATAACGAACAAGTAAAAAAATGCTGCATGTGTTTTGATTATTGATGCGAAAATAGGGTTGGATAAAAGGGAAAAACACAGAGAGCCAACATTCTTGGTTTTCAGAGGGTTTGAACAGCAAAAAGAAGCTTGGAAAAGAGGAATTTGAAGACACTGAAGCTAGGGTTTGCTGTTTTGAAGAAATTTGGGACTCCAAACTTGTTTTCTTTCTTTTTCCTTCTTTTTTTTCGTTTGTAATCTGATATGGACCGAAGTATTTGCTGTATTTCTGGTTTCTTTAAGATTATGAGTAGCTAAACTCCTTGCCCTAGGGTTATTTCAAATTATTATATGGATTGAGACTTGACTTCTCCTCTCTTTTAGCTATTAATGTTATATATCTGTTAGTTTTGTCTTGTGCTTCATGCTCCTAAATGTTTGGCCACCATTTAGGAAGTTTTGTTCATCTAAATTTGACCTGAGAAAGCTTATTTTCACAAAGAACTTGGACAAAGTTGAGATAGACTTCAGATTTGTCGTTTGAATAGATGGTTTGTTGGTAACTTAGAGATAAAGTTACTAACCTAGCATTGTCATATTAAGGTTGGGTTTTAAAAAGGATTTCATTGAATGATTCAAGAGATTGAGCATTTGGATGAGAAAGAAAATTTAGTTTTAACTTGAAAAAGCTTAATCAAATATTTGTTAACCTTAGATAAACAAATGTTTTCGTTAAGAAACTAATTAAGAGGAGTTAATTAAGTCTTCTGAAGTCCAACGGGGAGAAGTAACCCTAGGTTCTTTCCATCTTGAAATCAAAGTTTACAATCTAATTTTCATTTAAATCATAATTCTTTTAACTTTTAATCAATTGTTCCTTTTAAACAATACTCTTTTCAAATGTTTTCACTTAACCTAATCTTGAACACAATTGTTATTTTTAACTTGTCAAGTCTTAGTCTCTAAGAAAACGATATCTTTGTACTACTAGCGACATGTGCTCTTGCAGATAAAGCTAAACAGTGAACAATAAGTAATCTATACTTGAATTTTTACCCCTTCGGGTATATTGGAATTTGGAGTTATAGAGATATTCCACCAGTTAATTTGGGTTTAAATGAGTTTATCGAATTAGATTAATTGTCTAACTGATGTGGATCTTCTGTATTACATGATTTTGAGGTTAGAGCTATGATTTGAATGTGAGGGAATATATTCAATTTAGAAGTATTCCGAACCACACAAAATTCCAATTTATCAGATAGTTCATTGATGAAAATTTGGATCCACTTTAAAAAACAATGATGACAGCTCATGAAATTTGTTTATACTTACCTTTCTTATTCTGATGTTTTGCAAACTTCTTTCAAGCTGGCCCTCAATTGCTTGAAGTTCTTCATGAGAACAACTTACGCTATGTCCCAACAGTTTCCTATATATATGATCATTTAAACAAAAATCATTAGCTAAATCAAAAACTGTACGTAATAGTAATCTCAATTTCCACATAAGTACTATCAGAAAGAGTCAATTCTAGGACACAAGACAAACAAGCAAGGTATTAAAAACAAGGGGGCAACCTTTGAGAAAGTTCTAGTAGCTCAATTTTCCTCGCCATACTTGCACAGGTAGACCTCATTTGCTGCATGTAATACCAGTTATCTATTAGATTTAAGTTATATTTAGATATCATTCAATTTAACAAGTTATTTCGCTCAAACTACGTGTGAATGTAATGAATTATAGGCATAGCATAATTACAATGAACTTTACAATATATAACATCTTTTAAACATTACATAATGTATCAATCAAAACTATTATTACAAATCTTTAAAATACTTGTGGAAGAATGAAATGTAAAAGATGAAATTTAGTGAATACATGGTACCGGTGTTCTTCAATCATTGATCAAGCTCTCACATGGCTCAATAGATGAAAATTATTCACAAAACTAAAGGATATAATCAAACAACACCAAGTGCCTCTTTAAGGTTTTGTGATCTGAAGGGTATAACAAGTGGGTGAGTTATGGCCAAAAAAAAAAAAAACCAAAGAACGGGTTAACGGTCTGACGATTAATAAGAGACTCTACTGTGACAAAACTAAAGAAAATTTGGTCAACAAATATGACTCTACTTATATAACCTTCCTTTTTTAAAAGAAAGAAAGAAATATTCGCAGCACAAAGCATATATGTGTGTTAATAAATAAAAATTCTCATAATTTCGAAGTTCTACAACCGTAGGAAGGGAGTCTAACCTGGATAAGTTGTTCCTCTGCCAACTTGTTGATATCAGCATTTTTGCCATATTTAACATATCGGTCAATGATGTTTCTGGAGTTGAAGCGATCAAAACAAATCATAATTAATATATAAGCTCTGTGTGCACAACCATCTGCAACTACGTAGCTAAAATAATACTGTTTTTCATCGTCAAGCAGAGAAAATGCAGTCCCCCCCCCCACACACACACACACTAAACTAACTTAAATTCGCTTTAAAAAAAGACGACAGAGAAGAAAAGTGGAAACACAAACAGGTAAACTGAGATAATTAAATATTCACAATATGTTTGGCTCTATGCTTGTCACAGCATCATCAAAACCACACCTAGCTTCTATCAAAGTTCCTGGCTCGGTGGATTTTAATGAAAATTCAGCAATGGAATTCATATATGAAAATGTAGATCTTGAACAGGAAAATATACAAATGAATGTATATCAACAATGGTAATGAGATGTGTGCCTCTTATTCTTCTCTCTTTTCCCATTTTTCAGGTGAAAATTCAAGTGCGTCCAAGGACAAAGAACTGGAGAAGTGAATAATAATTCCACTGATATGATATGAGACTCCTTTATTAGTTTCTTTTTATTTGGTCACTTGGGATTTGCATACATATGATATATTTGGCAGATGTATAGGTAACTCATATTACTTCTGGCATTCATTATGTAGCATATAATATAGTTTACATTTGTTGGTGTTTTGGGATTGGTTCTTGGAACAAGACTTTTTATGTGGCTGAACATTTGATGAAATGAAATTAATAATTATATCATTCACTTGTTGATGGTTTACTGTGTTTAGTGTTTGATCACTTTTCTTGAACCAAAGGCGCATCATGTGTATTGGGAAATTTCATCACTTGAACTTCTTATGGTTCAGAACGACTGCTTGTGGTTACAGTTCGATGGTGACACAGGAGTGCACCTTTGGAAACGGGGTTCTAAAAGGTGATATTTCGATCCATAAGTTTTTGGATTTGAGTTGATGCATTTTTGTGGCATATTAGGCTATTGCAATGAGATTGAATTGGTCTTGGGGAAAATTCATCCCAATCATTCAAGTTTCGAAGTTTGTTTTCATATTGTGAGCTTTGAGTAAAATTAGTGTCATTGGTTAGTATTCATCTCTACAGCTTCATGTAGGAACTTAGACCATTGTCAAGATATAGAGTTTAGGAGTTGGAAATTTTTATTGATTACAGTCTGTTAATATAGGTTTCACCACGGCACAATATAAAGTTTAGCTGTAACACGAATACTTGTCGGTTGAAAAAGCTGTTTTTCCCCCCTAAAGGAATTATCCCGAAGGGTCCACATTTCATGCTTATAAAGAAAATAAATAAGAAGTGCTCATCATCAATCTAGACAATCCAGATTGATCTTAATTTGATTTTATTATTTGCCTTTAAATTTTTTTATTATAATACAAACATGATTTAAAATAAGAATAATTTCATAACCATAACTTCTTTTAAAAAACCAAATTTATTATAAAAAATATATACAATGATAAGCATGTGGTGCTTATCACTGTGAGCATTGAATGTAAACCTGTGATAAGCTTTTGGTTTGTGTTGACATTGTGGCCTCTTTTCTTATAATATTGTAGAGTTGTTTTGGGCTTAGACATATTTTAATTTGTTCAAATTCTTCCAAATTATATATATAAATTCATCCATATTTTTATACATTGTAGCTAAGCAATATTAAAGGTTATTAACTTTCACTTAAACCTTTGACTTCAACTACATTACATTGTTACATTTATACTCTCTCTAATCCTAAATGTACAACTTCCATACAAATAAATAGTTTGATCCAAAATGTAGGGCAACATATGTAGTGTTAACAAATTTGGTTTCCATTTACCCCTTTTCTTGTTTTTCCGGTACATTAGTGTTTATTTCGTTTCCGTTTAGAATAATTTAATGAAACTTTTGACATTAATGCAGTGTGCACTTAAAAAACTAGTATTTTTTTTAATAAGGTTAAAGATAACATCAAATTTTTCCCCCCAAAAAAGGGTGAATTAGTTAAAATTGTTCTTTTCTTGATGCCAAAACTGAAAATCGTTCTATGACTTATTTCAATACAATGCCAAGGAGAAAAAGGAATAATTTATCATTCTATTATTAAAACATCCAAGTCCTAGCACTAACGAACAGCATATAAAATTAAAAAAAACAACATATGCACACACTCAAGCCGTCAAGCGTATACACATACACGTGAAGCATAACGAGAAATAAATAAATAAATAAACATATTAAAATAAAAATAATTTAATTTCCTTGTTCATCATATCATTTATTTATATTATAAAACATTTTCTGGCAAAAAAAAATTATATTCAAAACTTTTATTAGCATTTGGCCCAAAAAAAAACATTTATTACGTAATTACGTACTCTCCTATGTTTTTTAATAAGATCCTTTCTATAGTTTTTAATGCAAGGCATTTTGTTAAAAAAATAACTTTTTCTAACAATATCCTTTATTTTAATATTCACTAACTAACTGATTAATAAACTCTCGACTAGCTAATTAATTAACATCTTCTAATTAATGGAATTCAGTGAATGTAATTTTAAAATTTTAAAGGATTTAACCAGTCTTTCCTTAAATAAACTTTACTTTGATACTCCTTAAGTAACTAAACAAGGTCCCAGTTAGCTAACTAAACAATAGCTTCTAGCTAATGAACTTCATTGACGGCAATTTTAAAAGTTTAAAGGGTTAACAAATTCCTATTTAGATAACCAGACAACATCTTCTAAATAATGAATTTCATTGAGGACAATTTTGAAATTTTATGGGCTTTATCGACTTTCAATTAAATTTCTTCCTTTTTTAGTTGCATATAGGTGTCCTTTTATGACAGAAAATCATATTCAAAACACAATATAGCACTAAATATAAGCAGTTCTACTAATAATGATTTGAACATTAGTTTACCAAGTCATGAGCAACTAGCTGCTTATCATCACATGTATCAAGCACAGGGATAGTGAATAATGTGCATTCCCAAAAGATTCTCAACAATCCGATGAATTGAAAAATATTCATTAGACACATAAGACTTACTAATGCGCTCCACATGGATCATCCAATACGATGAATGTTGAACACTAGAACTTGAGAGTTCACAATTGTCATTAAAAATCTACGTACTTCCAAATATGAAGCATTACGTATGCCGTGCAATTTACTAATTTATTCGCACCATATATGAAACAATTTATAACAGAAAGCTCAAAATAGTTATTTCTTTTAAAATTTAAATACAACAAAAAATTGGCAACCTTTTATTGTATTTCTTAACATATAAACGTAATTAAAAGCATACATCGTCTTATATATAAGCGTTTTGACTATTACAGATCTGTAAAGGTTTCAACATGTAATTATAACTTCTTGGGGTATCGGCGTAACCTGGTATGATTTTTCATTAACTAACAGTTAGAATATAATTAAGAAGGACATTACACTCACACACACACACACACACACACACACACGCATCTCAAAAGAATACGCGCACACCACGATCAAATTGGTTGTTATCTAGACGTATCAGAATTTTTTTTTTCCCAACTTATGCAAACTAATTAATTTAAAATAAATAAAAAATTGGATGCAACTTAAATTAAAAAAATTTCATTGGAACTATAAATCTATAGCATACATATAGAATTACTCGAATATACTATAATGAATATGTCAACTGAGAAGTTAAGGGAAAGAGGAAAATTCTGTGAGCAAGAGCTTGTAATGAATCAATCAGGTGTCTCACGACTTGAATGTTTTGTAGGTTAATCATGCCCTTAGGTTATAAAATTTGCTACCTCCTGTTACTTTTATAAGCCATTTGTAGGAAGGATACTTGATTTTTATTAGACGGCATCAGAAAATAATAATAAACCCTAAAGTTTATATTTAAATATGGGTACAGTTGAAATACAAAATTGGAATTGGAATTCTATCTATAAAAGACAAACACTTAAAAAAAAACAAATTTGTGAACAATAATTAATAGTAATATTATTTTACTAAACCTAGTCATTATTGTTGATGAGAGATGGTTATAAAAAGAGAGAGTCCTATTCTAAAAGCTACAAGTTGAAATAATGGAATATGAGATTAACTAGATTTATCTTATTTTATCTCAAATATATTTAGGATTTTTGTTTTATTAGAATTGTCTTTTAGATTTAATTTGCATTAGGATTTGATCTGAATAAATGTAATCTTTTATTTAAAATTTAACTATTTGTTTGAATTCTCTTTTATTTCCAGGGCCATGATCAAAGCTCTAGATTATGTCATTTCAACACATTTTTCTTGAATTTTTGGTGTTTGTATGTATTTTTAATATTCACGATAAGAAAATGTATAGTTTGTTTTGATTTCAGGTGTAATTTCTGGTTTAATCGTTGTTATCTTGTTGGTAGGGTCAGGTCTGGTTAAGGAATCAAGCCATTCTAGAACTTTAGAAGCTCTTGGAAAGAAGAAGAACGACAAAGAAAGAAACATGAGGAAGGTAAATTTATGCAGAAGTGAGAAGGGGGACAGAATCACTTCCTGACTCTAGCACTCTAAAGAGGTTCAAATTAAAGTCATGACTTTTGCTATTATATTGTGTTTTATAACCTAAAGTCTTTTACCCACAAAACTAAACACCTATTTGAAGATTAAGAGATTAGTTGAACTAAACACCTATTTGGAGACTTGGGAGAATTTGTAGGTAAATGACTACCCTTGAATGGCATAATCCATTGAGAAGCAAATATAATTAGGTGTTTGATTGAGTATGCTCTTGAGGTGCAAACGGATACATAATTCTAAGCCTTAATGCATCCATAGAGTCCTTATTAATCAATTTCAATGTTAAGCATCTTTATTTTACATTTTAGACGCCAATCATATGTTGGGTCTGTTCGCAGTTCCATACACAAAATATTTTGCTTGGCTAAATTTTTAATACAAATCTTCGTGAGAACAATATTTTCTTATCACTAAACTATTTCTTACAATTCATGCACTTTCAATATACCAGGCCGAAATAGTGTCAGGCTTTTTTGATCAATGGATTGAGATTGGTATTTAAAGTTCTCTCCATCCACTTATAAAAAAACACTAAATCCCACCCCCAAACACACATTATATTATATATACACAGAAATATAATCTAGATTTTGTCTCACTTTATTTTTTGTTGAGCTTTATTTCCCTAATTTAATTTTACAACTCTTTTGTCGGTTTGGCTAATCAGCTTAAAGGACACACATAGTTAAACTTTTGAACATTCATTTTAATGCATAACAAATTTTCACTAGAACGTTACTTTATTCATCATTGTCCTTGTACGCAAGCTTTTACAGGCCAAGTGCCCAAAAACCTAATCATCATTATGGTGGAAGATGTGGCCGCCAAATGACTGTAGAATCAATTTTAATTTGGGCAATTCAACTATGCAAGATTGCAAGTCCTCCATTTTCCCACAGTTCTAGAAAGTACAAAATGACTACGAATGTTCAGAGAGGAAAAAAATGAATGACACGACTTCAGTCGTTATTGACAAAATCTTTAGAAATATTACCTCCAGTTATTAATATAAACACTAATTAACTAATTTAAATAGATTAAAAAAAACTAGTTATGTTAATTATTTAAAATAAATAGATCCTGTTTTTTTAAATATCTTTGTTAATTAAGTGTATTAGCTAGAACTATTATCATTACAAAAACCATATAGCTAAATATGAAAGAAAAAATAAATTGAGGTTTTATACTTAGAATCAAAATAAAAAACAATTAATCCCTTATATCACAAATTCACCAAGAGATATATACGAAGGTACCATGCAGAGAACAAGACAAGAAAGAAAGCATGCTTGACGTGGGAAGCAAAGCAAAATCCAAGCAAAGCATTTAATGAGGAGAAGTAAATTAAAGTGCAGATTGGAATGGAAAGAGAATTTACTCAGAACTGAAGAACTCATAGAGCCTGCCTTGTGGAGAAAAGACAATCACAGCTACTTGGGCATCACACAGAACCGATAGCTCGTAGGCCTTTTTCAGAAGCCCACTTCTTCTCTTTGAAAATGTCACTTGTCGGCTATTTGCGTTTTCAATTCTTTTAATCTCAATCTTCCCTCTTCCCATCTCCTAATGAAACACCAAATGCTGATTAGATTCCAATCTCAAACCCTAGACTAGACAAACACCAAGCGAATCTAATTCAAGAACAGTTCCTTTTTTGGCGGAAAAAGGAACAATAATCATATAGAAAATGAAAGGGAAAGATTAGAAGATTTCCAGGAATCGATATGTTCCCCTATTGTTCTGCTCAACCCCACAAATGAGAAATCACAGAACCCGATCTCGCAGACAAAAAGATCATTCCCAGTCTAGCAGAAGGAGTTGGATTGGTTGATATAATAGCCACAAAAAAGGTTCGGATCTTTAAGAGAAATTAAATATGGTACTCATCCCAAAACTTTCGATCGGGGATAGACAAAGAACTGACCGTAAAGAACTGGAATATTATAAAGAAGACTTACGAAGCTTTGGAATCTTTAGAATCTCCTACAGGAGGATAAATATTTCGCCGGAAGAAGCCGGAAATTAAAGCGTCAAGAGTTGATCAAAAGTGAAAATCCTTTTTCGGAGAAAATAACAGTTTAACTTGAATGGTCTGCAGTTCAGGAGGACAATATTTGGAAACCCTAATGATTCGGAGCTGCAGCAACTTTTGGGTTCAGTCCTCCAGCTCTTTATTCTATGGCCACAGTAACTCAACTGTTTGAAAAGTCGATGATGGGACCTCAAACCCACCAAAGAGTAAAAAGTGGAAACGGGGGAGAAAAAGAGAGCTTGATTATCGATTATCAGCCTTACGAAAATGGTAAAGTTTCTAAAACCTATTTATGTTTGTAATAGGAAAATTAAGAAAGAGCTGTTAAAGCGTGCGTTGGCAAGGTTCACGCATGACATTAACAGCAACGAAGTGCGAGCCCCACCTGTGAGAAAAGGCCGGTCTTCGTCAATACTGGTCCTGCCTGGAATCGTGGGTCTGGTAAATAAATTAAATAAGAGTAATTAAATAACAAACATTAAATATACCATAAGAAACTTATATTAAGGATTAAAAGACCAAAACTTTTTTTTTACAGGAGTGACTTAAATTTAAAATCAGAATGGTAATAAATAATAAAGTGAGGCACATAATTCTGATGGTTCAGCTTTCGAGTACGCTTAAATTTGTGAGGTTTAACCTTTAATACCCCTCACTCACCTTACCTTTTTATAACAAACTCTTTTTTGGGCTAATCTCGCAACAAACTTATTAAGTCTCTTGAATTGGAAGATAATTTATTTTCCAAGTGATTTTAATGGAACTATGAACTAGACAAATTTTATATGGCTATGGCATGGCAAGCAGCCAGCTATAAATGAAATGTTGTTGGGGAAATATACGATTACCTTACGTTTTTTGTAGCTGCCCCACTCATATAACCAGTGATTTGATTATGCAAAAGCAATACATATAACTTAATTGACATGTTTATTTACACCATTTTTGTATCATTTTTTTAATTGAAATGTTTGTTAAATGGTTATATTGGTAGACGTAAGTGGTGACTTATTTGTTCCATTTTGGAGTCTTCATGTATATTTTTACATTCAAAAAAATGTTATAATCTTTTAGTTCTATTTATAAGGCACTTTCAGCATATTTCACACAAATAAAAAAAAACCTTAAATTTCATTAATCTCTTTTAAAATTTAATAACTTTTCAACTTTATTCCTATATTACATCTCATGTAAACAAAGTCAACAGAATAATAAATGAAAGATAAAATTACACATCAATACAAAAAATTTCTCTCAGTACCTTATAATAGAACTGAAAAATATCTCCTCTTTCTGTTTTGTAAACCAGAAGAGTGTATCAAATGTGCATGTGAAAATGTTTTATGTGTCAATTTGTACCTAAACCCGTCTTTTTATTCTAGTGAAAAGTTGGGCAATTAATGTGGATTTAATGCTTAGCACGCTAAATGTAGGGCAATTTTTACTTGTACTTGGTTCTTAGATTTTTTTTAACGGAACTTTTTTTGTTTTTTTTAACCAGAGATGTTTTAACGGAACTAGTTTTCCTTTCGCAAGGGAAAAAAAAAGGACTTTTTTGGGTGGTTACCCTTTTTTCTAAAATGTAATGCTATTCTTATTATGAAATATTTCTAAACATCTAATTTGATCAAAATCAAGATGAGATTATTAACTCATTAAATTTATATGGAAATAAAATAAACTTTCAAATTTACCTTTATTTAATACACAATGAATTAAATTTAATATAAGTTACAAAAGTTACAATTAATATAATTTTGAATAAAAATAATTTTAAAAAAATATAATTAATATTTCATTTGGTAACTTAGAACCATTTATTTCTTTGGGAAAAAATTAAAATAGATAGCATCAAAAGCATCAAAATGATATTCTGGACAGGAATCTGGCTATCAAAGTCCGTAAAAATGTTTTTCCATATCCTGAACATAAACATGTAAGAGCATGATTATAGTAACTTATAAACAGCTATTCAATTATTTTTTTAATTATGATTTACAAAATACGAGGCAAGTTATGTGGAAGAAGTTATTTCAATTTACATGAAAGTGCTTATAAGAATCAAACAAATCCTAAATAAGTGATATCTTTAGACGGTACATTATTTCGTTGCTGACATGAAATAAGTTGTTTTAGTGACTAAATTAGGAAATATGTAAGGAAAAATCAGGTATAATAGTTTTGAAATAATTTCAATTTATTACATTATTAGTTCCTAAAAATATTGAATTTTATAATTATTTCTATAATTTAAAATTAATAATTAAACTTCTATAATTTGCAATTTGGTTCCAAGCATGAAAACATGATAGCTGCATCTTTTAATTTTTATTCAAAAAATGTGTAGTTAGATATATAAAGAATTTTATCTAGATTTTGTCAAAATAATAATTACCAATAACAATTTTATGTTACTCCCTCCGTCCCTCTTTATAAGCAACCTTAAACTCTATTACATAGATAAAAAAGTTAGTCAAAGATAATAAATGAGTAAAAATTAGGAGTTTTTTCTCTAAAATACTATTATGTATGGGGGAGAGAAAATGTAAGAAAGAGAATAAGAAAATTATTATAATAAAAAGAATTATGAAAGAAAGAGAATGTGTAATGGAGAGCGATGATAGTTTGAAAATGAGATAATTAATATATTGAGTATTAAAATAAATAATTAATGGAGGTAAAATAGGAAAATTGCTACATAAATCTAAGAAAACCTTGCAAATGTTGCATATATTTAAAGGATAAAAAGAAGACGGTAGTTGTTGTTTATAAAAAAGAACAAAAGGAATACATAATGCAAACCCTAGTGAGCCTTTGCTTTGAAAAAATTGGGTTGGAGCTGGGGGTGAAAATAGGTCAGGGAGCCTGCTAGGGGCTTGTGGCTTGGCCTATAAATGGCCTAACCTATTTAGACATCAGAACAAGCTTGGGTTTGTAGAAAGGCCTGTTTACTTTATCAGATCAGGCTCAGGTTTAATAATAAGCCTATTAAGCTTATCAGACGACCCGAGCCTGTTTTTTTTTTTAAGGTTAAAATTATAAATGGGCTTGGTTTACTTATAATTAGTTATTAGTTTGAACTAGTCATATTTTGGTCCAAGCAGGCCAGCACCCTTTTGCCTCTTATATTTTTGGTATGCGCACCCCTATGTTTTAATTGATACATACAGAATAATCTCGGTTTATTTTCAGGTCCCCAGTCTTTTACAAGCTCTTTTTCTTTAGGGTCAAGGTGTAAAAATACCCCTAACCTTATACCAAAAGTGCACCCATCACCATAACCTTTTTTGTGGGACAAAAGTACTTATAAACTTGCAAAATCAGAGCAAAAATGACATTGCATTTAAATTTGACAAACAACCGTTATATTTTGTAGTAGGGCCCACACTGATATTATGAAAATACCAAAATGTCCTTAACTCGGGAAAACAAAAAAAAGATGAAGATGCTGAAATATCTATAAACTTTTAAAAAAAGTGTGCCCAATACTATATATCTTTTCACAGGTGCAAAAGTACCAATGATCATGCAAATAAATTAATTCTTTCAGTTTTAGCAAAACTCTTCTAAATTTTATTATACCATTGTAATACTAATAATTTTACGGTTGATATATATATTTAGTCTTCCAAATTTACATCAACTTTCAATTTAGCCCCTTAAATTTATAAAATGTATTTTTAATTCTCGTGGTGTTAACACTATTAGTTTCATTAACAGTAAAGTTTGATTTAGCAAATTTAAATGGTAACTTTGTAATTAAATATTAAAATATTAATCTTTAGTCTAAAAATTGTAAATCGAAAAATATTTAAAATAAAACCTAATAAAGATATAGAATGATTTTTAACATCAACAACCATCCTTCAATATATAAAAAATTAATAGACTAAAAGTACACTTTATATTTTTAAGAAGTTAAAATAAAACTTGACACAAATTTTGAGGTCCAAAAGTATAATAGCATAATACTTTTTTTAAAAAAAATGAAATAATCAATTTATTTACACATTCATGGTTACTTATGCAGAGTCACTGTTTAAATTTATTGGGTTAGTATTTTCTATTAACGAGACCAATAGTGTTAACATTTAGTAACTAAAAATATACTTTATATATTTAAAACTAAGTTGAAACTCAGTAAACTTAAAGGACTAAACGTATAAATTAATCATAAAATTATTAGTATTATAATAGTATGATAAAATTTAATAGATTTTTTTTTTACTAAAACTGAAGGAATTAGTTTATTTTCACTATCATTAGTACTTTTGTACTTGTGAAAAAACATGTGGTATTTAATGTATTTTTTTCAAAAGTTTATAGGTATTTTTGCATCTCGTCTTATTTTGTTTCTTTTATTTAGGGGCATTTTGATACTTTAATAACATTAGCAATGGCCCCACCATAAAAAGTAACGATCATTAGTCAAATTTAACGGCGATGTCGTTTTTGTTCTAATTTTACAAGTTTATGGGTATTTTTGCACCTCAAAAAAAATTATGATGGTGGGTGCATTTTTTGTACAAGTTTATAGATATTTTTGTACCTTGACCCTTTTCTTTATTGTTCTTTTAGCCATTTGGCTATCGACGTATATATTACATAAAAACATTAAACCTCTTCCATGGTACTCTCGGTGTATCGTTGTGAAAGGCTTTTTGTTCAGTCTAAACCTGGCCTGTAATTAGACCTAGCCTGGCTTGTGACTTGTTAAGAGGCTTGTTTTTTAACAAATTTCAAACACATATAAATCAATTCAAAATTACAATAATTCAACCCAATTTACCTAAAATACAAACAGAAAATACAAAATTATCAAATTAACACAATTTGTTTTTGCTAGTTGCTACAATTACAACAAACCATCAAACCGCAAAGCATTAAATCTTCAACACAATTTCTTTTTCTTGTTCAAACACCTGAGAATTTACATGGCTATTTACCAACTAGAGGTGAAAACAGACCAGGTCAAGCCAAACCTTACCCTTAACAAGCCTGCCCAAAATTTCAAAAATATCTCATTTTGTTAAGCATGGTCCTTAAGCTGATGGGCCCTAGGCCAACCAGCGGGCTTTTTGTCCGTTTAAAAAAAAATACAATTTTTTATATTTCTTATATATTTTATAAAAAAATAAAAATAAAGCAATAAAATTACTAGTAAAAGAAATAGATATGAATAAAATTAAATCACAAATAAAAAAACATCATCATATTTAAATATCTATTAATATTTAAGAACATCTAAAACATCTACTAATGAGACAACAACATTTAAAAGTTCTATCAAGAGTGCAAATGTGTAATAGAGAAATACTATCATCAATTTTTTAAAACTTCATCATCACTATCATCATTATGAGTATGCCCTTCTTTGGTGATAAAGATATCAAGTTTTTCTCTTAGAAATTTCACTTTTAAATTTTGCATTCTAACTATTAATTGGACAAATTATTGTCTAAAACCAAATAAATCAAACTATTTATGAACTTTAATTCCAAAATGATAATAATAACTAAATATTTGAAATATCATTAACACTAAAAAAAATCAGTAATATTAAAATTATATAAAAAATTTAAAAAAAAATTATAAAAGGGTCTAAAGGGGCCTCAACCCTACAAGATTAACTATTTTAAGCTCATTTTTTATTTGAAGGGAAAAATTTTAAGCCTTGTTCTCACAATTTTTAGGCCTAAACTTGCTCGGCTTATTTTTCTAACTCCAGGGGATACTATAGGGTATTATTGTCAGTTGGAATTAGCAAGCCAAATGCTATTAGTGCATTGGAATCTACCCTGTTGGTGATATTTAGGGTAGAGAGAGAAGATATTTTTCAGTCATATTTATAGGGCACTGAAAGAAATTTTTTGTATGGATGTATAATTTTACCCTTCATTTATTGTTGTGTTGATCTTGTTTACATGAGGTATAGTGTATATTAAATAGGGATAAAGTTGAAAAATTATTGAATTTTAAATAAGAGTTAGTAAAGGTTAAGATTTTTCTTAATATATGTGAAATATGTTAAAAATGACTTATAAATAGGACTAGAGGAGAATGTTTGAGTGCTTACCATATGAATTCGGATCATCTAGCATATATTCCCTCATAATTATAGATCTTCTTGTCCCTAATATAAGAGCTAGTTGGTTAATTTGAGTAGATTAAGAAAGTCTGTTAAATTAGTTATTTCTAATAAATATGTGTTGTCTTCTCTAAAATATTCTTACTAATCAAGTATATTAGCTTTAACATTTGATAAAACCTTTAACATGTACAATTACTACAAAGATTACTTTAGGAAAAAAAATATAAATATAATAGACAAAGTAAATTAAAATATATTTAGAACTAAATTAAAAGTCAAACTCTTATATTGAGTATCAAAGGTAGTATTTATATTTACCGTTATATGTTTCTTTATATTTTCATGCTTGTTGTGTTTTTTAGCCTGGAAAATTTGCATCTCCATTTTCAAAACGATGAAGAACATAGAAGAAGCAAAATAAAATAAATAACGCATGCGTCCATCAGAGGCTACGGTAAGAAGGGGAATATCTAAGTAGCCTTCGAAATAAAATACTATACTATTTCATCAAGATTTTGCTGAAGCGTGTTCCCGCTTTTTTGATGATGTTTTGGCATGTAAAAATTCAAGTTTCGACTTCATGATACTGAGGTGTGTTTGGTTTCACCAAGTCACCCATATTTCCATATATATGTGATGTTGCTTAGTAGATACAGTGGCTTTTTTACCGGTATACCATACACAGCAACAAAAAAAATACTAAAATACTATAATTTCAAAAGTATTTAACAATATGCTAAACGATTTTCAAATTGTATATAAGTTATTCTTACCAAGAATAATTTGTATATTATCTAACAAAAAACAAAATTATTCTTTGGGTAAACGATTTCATTTTTGGATTTTTTTAAAACCAAAAAATGAAATCGTTCGCCAAAAGAACGATTTCACTTTTAGACTGTAATATTCCTGTATGCGAATCCTTTTGTAATTTCCTTCCCCTCACTTCTCTCACTTGTCAACTCAACTTATCCTCTCCATGTAAACCCGTGAAGCTACAACAAATGTACATTCTTTTATGTATTCTACTTCTTCAACTTTGATTTCTTGCTTTTATAGATTCTGTCTTTCATCCCAAAATTCACTCTTCTTCTTCTTCCTCTTTGTGGTTTATTTGCTCCACTTTTATTGTCCTTTTACTTTGTTATTTCTTCACTCTTACTTCCAAATACTTGACAAGCTCTTTTACTGCTACTGTAGGTATATTGTTTCTCCTCTCTCTCTCTCTCTTAAATTTGCAACTGTAATATAAAATTTTATTTTTCATCCCTACTATCCTTGATGAACTAATATTTTATTATTCTAATTTTCAAGAGGTGAGTGGTGGGTTCAACGATCCGAAATATGTACACTCTTTCTAAGCTAAATGCCTCTTATTTTGACAGTAAGACTATAATCTGCTATATTGTTTTAAGATGTCAAGTGAGGAGATATGAAAGAAATAATTATGATTTTATTATATTTCTAGAATATTTGAATTATTTAGGATATTGAGATTAGTTAGATTTTTTAGGATCTATTTAAATTTCCCAGTATTTTATTGTTTTATTGTTAGGATTATTTGTTATTATTATTATTATTATTATTATTATTATTATTTTGCCTTTTCCCTGCTATTTGTTATTTTGCATTTTTGAATCGGTGATGAGTATCATCACATTAGTGCTTTGAATCAAAGATTTTCCTACTCATTGGAGGAAAATCTTAACTGTATTGGAGGAAATGGGTATGACGGATAAACATGACCAATTTCTTTTAACTAGAGTGATCATAACTTCTCATATTTACTTGGATATTTTGAGAAAAAGATTAGAGAAGAAATCTCCATTTTCGAACCTCTCATTTTAACCCGATTATTTTGGTCCAAAAGATTTATCCCAATCAAAATTTTAGTTTCATGCAATAAATTGATATTTATTAAATTAAATTTTACAAAAATAATGAAATAATAAATATGTATTATAAGGTATATATAATATATTTATGCATAAAATTAAAAAAAATTCCATGATATGTTATTTATTAAAATAATATCACAAGAAAGAATTTTAACATTAAAAAGACATCTGTTTGGCATGTTCTATATAGTGCAGACAATATATTAATTAATAATTAATATAAATAAAATTATAGAAATAGCGGAAGAAACAAAAGGGGAAAAATCTGTATTTCTCAAACTTATTTTTTATTTTAATTACAAACAGATAATCTACGAAGGTGGAGCAAATAATACACAGAAAGGGAAAAAAAGAAGAATGAACTTCAAAATGAAAAAAAATGAAGTAAGAAACCAAGGTTGAAGAAGCACAATAAACAAAAACATGTACATTTGTTACTTCACTGGTTTATATGGGGAGGATGAGTTGACTAGTGAAAGAAGTAAATATTTGCATTAGGAAGAAAATTGCAGAGGGATTCGCATGCAGAAATATTACAATTAAAAAGTTAAAAAGAATTTCACATCTTGTTAAAAAAAAAAAGAAGAAATAATTCACACAGAATGATTTCACTTTTTGTCAGATAACATACAAATCGTTCTTGACAAGAATAAGTTGTGTATAATTTGCAAATCGTTTTTACCAAAAATGATTTTAAGTATAACATATTAGTAAATACTTTAAAAATTATAGTATTTTGATATATTTCTTCACTGTGAATAGCACATCGGTCAAGGAGCCTAGATATAGTAGTTGATCATATTCATTGAACATAACTTTAACAATTTCATTAGTGTTTTCGGCTTTCTCTATAAAGAAGGAAGAAAAACTTTCAAAAATAAGGAAGGAAGGAATGAACTTTGTAAACAACTTCTCTATGAATCAGAAACAGAGAAATGAGCTGTACTGCATCTGTAATAACAAAGCTATACACTGCCAAGTTCATGGAAAACACAGTTTCTTCATGCAGTTAACAGCATGTTTATATCTACATGTAATAGTAATCTAATATAATCTATAGAAAGCTACAATATTCATAAGTTATGAATAATGAAACACAATTCAAGCTCCATATAAATTAAAATTACCCAAATTTTAATTTGAATAAAGATGTAAAAAAAAGGCACATTTTTTGATTTCAACATATATCTGCAAAATTAAGGACTCACTTTCATGTCTCTTCTTCCATATATCATAATTACGTACACAAACATACACCCTTGTTTATTAGGTTTCAGTCGAATGGGAAAAATATACTTACATGCCACATTAATTGGAGGAATTGGAATAAGATTTTAGGCGGCGAAGAATTTAGAATTATAACTGATGTTGGCCCACCAAAATAGTAATTACTAGAAGCCGACTCAGCTATATCAGAAACGCTTCTCTGGCAGTCCAATATGTAATTCAGTTTCAACATATGATCTTCGGCTGTTTTCACTTGAACTTTGATGTGCTTCTCCTCTGTGTATAGCCCATTGCTGCCACGCATTTTCCCCAAACTGCACCAATAGTAACAATTGTAGCACAAGAAAATTTTACAGTCCGCAGATTCTAGACAAAATGATCAGGCTCTTGTATATAAATTGGAACAACTGTCCCACATGAAAGGGACAACACATGCTACTAGGTTTGATCTATATCAGCGGAAATACCAAGTACAAGCCTTAAAATGTGACAAGACAACAAAAGAAAGTAATCTTATCAAACTATATACGATGTATCACGTTCTTCTGCGATACACAGCAGGACAGAAAAGAAAGAAGTAACTGAATTCCCACTTGTATGAGAGACACACACATCCTCATTCTTTTTCCTCTTTAACTTCACAAGTTCTTGTAATTAAAATGACAAATTTAATCAAGGGATATGTGATTAGCAAACAATCATACTCCTGTCATGTATAAGTAGTATTTTTTCAAAATCTCCTTATTAATTGACAAGAAAGATATTTTTCTTAATCTTTTCTAAGATAAAGACATCTATAGTAAATGCCGGTGGGAAACATATTGGCTTGCTGATACATCATTTTCAACTCTCATTCAGCGACTTGCGCTACACAGTCAAAACCAGCTCAGCTATATTTCTGGGCAAATGTTCATTAGAAAAGAATGAAATTTACGTTTTGAATAATGGCATTGTATGAGGAGGAAACATTACTTGAAAATATGCTGAAAAAAGTAACCTTTTGTGTCACCAATTAGTGATACACTAAGACTCCATTGAGGACCTTTACATAGATCAACTCTCAAATTGGTCCTTAAATGATTTTTACTATATTAATCCAAACTACCAAGGAATCTAGTGATATGGTACAATTTCAATGATGCAGCATAAAGGTTAGATGCCAACCACGCTGTCCTTGTACTAGATTTGCCAGCATAAATAACAGCTAATGAATCAGATTGGATGAATTATGAAGTGCGAGTGAATAAAACAAATGAAAATCTAGTCAGAAACAAATTAATAATGGGTCTATTTTGAAGGATGTTTTATGAAAGTGTTTGAACGAAGTAAAGCATCAATATCAAACATATATGTTGCAGAGTGTGTGAGAATATTTCTTAAGACCAACATCCTCTAGAAATAACGAAGACAGACTACAGAGCTAGATGGTTTTGATTTTAGAGTTCAGAATATGGGAGGAAGAGTCAAATAGCAGGCTAAATAGATGTTGAAACTGAACCTAACTCGATGGGCCCAAGTAAAAATGCGTGCATATGTAACTAATTCATAAAAATTAAAGCACACGGTGTTTAAATACCCCGAAAGTATACACGAACGAGTATCTAGTACCTGAATTTTTTTTTTTGGCTCTTACATGTCTTGGAAGTTTTATTTTGTAGCATTTCTGCTCTGAACCATTATCCGCCATTAAATTTGACAATTAAAGACACCGGTCAAATGCATAATTTAACGGTCAAACTTGACAACGGTTAGGGTATTTTTACTACGAAAATTAACTTCCAGGGCATCTAAGAGCCAAAAAAAAAACTTTCAAGTGCTGGATGTTCTTTCATGGATACTTCTAATATATTTAAGCCCTTTATTCTTTTATAAAATACAAATTCAGTGTGACTTGCTTGAGAGCTAACTACGAAGTACCTTATTTTTCAGCTGCTCAAATTGCTCCCTTACAAGCTGAGCCTGAAAGAAGATATACAATCAAGAACACCATAACGATGAAAAATAACATTAGCCTGATTCTGGTTCTTGTAGCTTGAATTAACTACTTTGATGGCTGATTTTAGGAAATAAAGATAGAGGAGTTGGACAATCTATCCCCTAGCCCTAGTCTTGTACTTTTGCTGTCATCAAGCCTTTTGTTTGCCGTGTACGACTCAAAAATAAAAAAGGAAACAAAACCGGCCCCATTGTTCCATTTAAGAAGCATTTTGAAGATGAACCCCCAAATGAAATGTGAATTAATGACGTGTTGAAGATCCCAGATTTTATCATCCTTTAGTTCGCAAATTAACAATAAGGGATTTCAATGGCGTGCTTCTTTTTAGGATTTTTTTGTGATATAGAAATTACCTATCAGGAGCCTAACCATAGTAGGTAGACACAGATGGTTTGTATCTACTTAAACAAGGTAAAATTGAGAAACCAAAGCTTAGCCATGAGAGGTTAGAGATACACAAAATGAGAAAATTAATAAGCAAATAAATCAAATGTAGCTTGGAACAATAACTCCGTCAATGCTTTATAGCTAGTCCCAAGCTTAGATAAGGAAGAGACTCGTGTTAGGCTCCCAACAGTCAATATAAAAATTTGTCAAATCTTTTATGACATTGACAATATTGTGCTTATATTAGATTGTTGCTGTGAAGCAGCATGCTGTATGGATCGAGCACAGTGACAAATAAGCAAGAGTCATTGCATCAATACCCACATTTAGTGTTAAATAAACAAAGGCTATTGTACTCTTTTGGACGGATGGAATGAAAGCAACATCAGGCTTGATAATTGGAATATTTGGATCTTGCCTTGCATATCAGTGTGGGTGGTGGGAGACATGAAATACAGAAAAATTAACACTTCGTGTTTTCAAGAAACTGACCGGATTGGAGAAAAAGCCAAGAACTTTCAGATTTCAAACAGAGGGAAAGTGAAGACAAGGAACAGAATCGGTGTCATTATTGATAAAATGTGGAAGAAGAATGCTGGTCAAGGTTTAAAGGGTCGTGATATAATCATATCCTTAAGAACGATTGTTGGACATGTCACTTTCAACATTATCAGCATTTATGCACCTCAAATAGGGGTAAAAGCACATTTAAAGGAAAAGTTTTGGGAAATTTTGGATGTGTTAGTTCAAAGCATACCACAAGATGAAAAGAATTTCATTGGCCACTTAATGGCCATGTCGATAAGGAGGCGGACAATATGTAGGGACTTGTGATGGTTTGGTTTTAGAAAGCTTAATAATGGACAATCTATTCTTAATTTCTCACCAGCATAAAATCTTAGGATTGACAACACTTTCTTTAAGAAGTAGGATGAGCATTTAACCACATATAAAAATGGAGCCAAGAATGACTGCTTTATGGTAAGGAATCATGCCAAAAGGCCTTGTAAAAATTGCAAAGTAATTCTTGAGAATAGCCTCGTCAGACATCATAGGGTCTTAGACCTTAATGTGTATACTAAAGATCTATGGAAACCCTACTTTCACAAGCTTTTTAATGATGGAGAGAGTTTGATTAGCGATTTGGAGGATTTAGTTACTCAAGAAGGTGGACAAAATTCGATGTTTTATCAGAGAATTCGTATTGGTGAAGTTAAAGAAGTTTTTAGAAAATGAAAAATGATAAAGCTATTGGACTTGATGGTATCTATCTTGAAGTGTGGAAGTGTTTAGGCAAATAGGGTATGCTGCAAGTAATTAAACTATTTAATAATATTTTATGGTCCAAGAAATGATTCATGAATGGACGAGAAGGACTTTAGTTCCAATTTATAAGAATAAAGGAAATATTTAAAACTATGCTAGCTTCAAAAGGATAAATTTATGAGCCATATAGTAAAATTCTGGGAAGGAATGTTTGAACACATGTTAAGAATGGAAACCGGTATTTCTAAGAAACTATATGGATTCATGCTAGGCAGTGCTACGATATAAGCAATCTATTCACTAAAAGGTTAAAGGAAAAGTGCCTAAATAAAGGAAGAGGGTCATATATGGTTTTCATTGACTTCGAGAAATTTTTATCATCACCTATCAAGAGAAGTAATTTGGAAATTTTTGAAAAAGATAGGTGTTCATGTTGCATGTTTTAAAGCTATACAAGATATGTATGAGGGAGCAAAAGTGCAACCTGTGCTAAAATGTATGGAGGTGACACAAAAACTTTTCTATAAAGGTTCTACATTAGAGAACATCATCCTTACTTGTTTGACTTTAAATGCTCTAACTGATCATATCAAAGAGAAAATCTCCAAGTGCATGCCTTTTGCTGACAATATAGTTCTCGTTTCTGAGTCAGGAGAACAAATTAACTCTAAAATTGAATTATGAGAAAGGATCTTGGATCTGAAAAGTTTTCGTCTTAAGATAGAATATGCTCTGCAAATTTAATAAGATACAAGTTAGGAGTTAATTTGTTTGACTTTAAATGCTCTAACTGATCATATCAAAGAGAAAATCTCCAAGTGCATGCCTTTTGCTGACAATATAGTTCTCGTTTCTGAGTCAGGAGAACAAATTAACTCTAAAATTGAATTATGAGAAAGGATCTTGGATCTGAAAAGTTTTCGTCTAAGCAGGAGTAAGATAGATTATATGCTCTGCAAATTTAATAAGATACAAGTTAGGAGTTACTTGAAGGTTACGATGGAAAAATAGATCATATCACAAAGTGACGAAATGGAATTAATCGTACAAAATGATAATGAAATTGATGAAACTGATATATTTAGAATTCAAGATAGATGGTTCGAATGGAGAAAAGCAACAAAAAGTAATTTATAATTAAAAAGTACCTAATAAGCTTAAAAGGAAGTTTTTATCTTTAAAGGGACAATAAGAACATAAAGTAGAGGTAACATAGATGAATATGTTGAGATATATATGTAAGAATACAAGAAAGATGAGATCTGTAATAAACATATATGAGGAAGAGTTGGTGTGGCATCTATTAAGGAGAAAATGGTAGATAACCATTTAAAATTGTTCGAACATGTACCAAGAATATCATTGGATGCACCGACGGGAGGCGGAACAAAAATTGAGTCTTGTGAAAAACAAAGAATCTATTGAATGAGATCTTTTGATTAACAATATATTCCTCAAAGTTTTGGCTGTTGACAGAATACAATGGTGTTATGCAATCCATGTAGCATACTCTACCTAGGATACTCTACCTAGGATAAGACATCTTGTTATTACCCTAAATAAGCACATGTGTATATACCCCTAAATAAATGGTATGGTGGAGAGGAAACTGATGACTCCTTATATTTAATGATATTTAGCTGATTTCTTAGGGAATCATCATCGCATTTTTTTTAGATGTATTTCTTTGATTTTGTAGGAAAAATTGAATTGACTTCACCATATATCAAATGTAAATATCATTGAGAAAATGAGTTATGTGTATACAAGTCTTTTCATTCATAATTGTTGATTTCTTGTACATGTAGTCAAACATTTCAAGCAAGAGAGAGTAGAGTTCAAGGAGGTAGAAATCAACTCGCGGTGGGTGCATTGATGCCATGGCATGGAAGTACAGATGTTGTAGTTAGAGAGAAGTGTAATAGCGAGAAAAGTGCTCCCTGCCACCATGGCATATAGAGGTATCGAAGCACCGCTGCTGCAAACTACAGACTTTCTCATTGGTGCTACAGCTAAAGGTCAATACCACAGTCCTTGAGAGGAGGTTTAGAGTTCAAATGGAGATGGACTAAGGCTTGGGTAGGCAGAAGATTAGTGGCATGGACTATTTTCCTCCCTTTCTTTGTATATATCTTTTTTGTGTTTAATTTGGTTGGCTCTCTATTTCTATATCTTTTATTTACGCAAATGTATATACAAGGAACGCAATGGAATGGAGGACACGGCATATTATTATTCACTAGAAAACAATGATTGAAATTGATGAAATTTTGCTTATCCATACCTTTCTCATTTTGACGTTTTGTAAACTCCTTTGGAGCTGACCCTCCATTGCTTGAAGTTCTTCATAAGAACAACCCAAGTTATGAAGTCCCAGTAGCTTCCTATATATGAATTGAGTGACACTTTCAACATTTTATCGCTGACTTAAACAAGTCTTGTATCATAATGTCGGCTTGCTTAAAAGTATTAGGCAAGGAAGAGCCAATTTAGGACAATATAAACATGGTATAAAAGGGCGAAGAGGCGACCTTTGTGAAAGTTCTAGAAGCTCAATCTTCCTTGCCATGCTTGCACAGTTAGACTTCAGGCGCTATGCAATAACAGTATAATTATCTATCAGATGTGTGTCATATGATTAACAATTGATAGAAACCAATGGGGGGAAAAAGTACTCCTAGTCCTAGCATCGCTTACATAGCATGATCGGTTTTCCATTTTAGGTGAAATGTTGGTCAATTCTGGGACTTTACTGGATCATTTTTTGTAAAAAAATGGTAAAACATTTCTAGAGTAGAACATTAAAGTTAGTTAATAATAATTCTTATAATTTCCAGATTCTAACAGTAAGAAGGGAGTCTAACCTGGATAATTAGTTGTTGCTCTTCAAACTCATTGGTATGAACATTTTTGCCATGTTTATTGTATCGATCAATAATGTTTCTGGTATTGAAGCATTCAAAGCAAATCATAATTAATGTAAAATTAGCTACACACACAAACAAATTCTTCAAGAGTTCTGCATATGAAAAAAAAATTCTGAAACTAGGTAGCCTGCTAAAATAACGTTAATTCTTCGTCGCCAAGATGAGAAATTGCAGCTTTGTGACTCTTGAATCTGGAAAAGGAATAATAAATTAAATCCAATTGATGTAATTACAAAATTCAAAAAGATGCTTGGAAGTTTAATCCGTCGAAAAAGCACTCATGGTGAAAGAACAGAAATGGGGATCTCGGCCCCCTTAAACTTGTTGCTGTTGAACAAATCATTGAGCCTAAACTCAACAAATATGACTAATGGTCAGTGATTCCCCACTATGCACTCCAAATTAGCCTAGTGGAACACATAAAGAAGGCCAGTGATTCCCTTCAACCAGAGATGAGATGGTGAGGGAGGCTAATTAAACAACTTATTTGTTGGCAAGTTTCTCCCAATACCTATGGATTAGAATCAAATGTGATTGAGCTTACAAGTCCAATTCCAATACAACTGCTGTTGGAAGTCTCTCTAATGACGTTTTATGTAACTGGTTAATCAGTACTGATAATATTGGTACTTGTAGCATTACTCATGTTGGTTGGTCGAGTCAAACCAAACCTCTGACTAATAACCTTCAGGACCAGTTAATCAAGTCTCACTTGGTGTTTGTATATATTGTATTGTCTTTTTAATAACATATACTCTCTCAAGTGTTAAATGTAAGAGCTAGTAGTAGGGTTTTCTTTGATTTTAAATGTAAGACATCAATTCACTTTGTTTTTTAAATGTATGATTTTTTTTTCCCCAAACTCTTCCTATTACTAGCATCATTTTGCTTTTCATATAAACTTTCCCTATTAATTGCACATATTAAAGCAAGTCTTTCATCAAGAGTGTAGTTTCCAATACAAATGATTGAAAGGGATACTTAACAAAAACCAAAGCATATTTTTTTACAAATAACCAATTTAACTAATTTTTTAATCATTATAAATTAGTCATCTGGTTTCTGTATTCAGAATTGAAGGGAGTATTATATTATACTAACTTTATTTCCTAGATGCTATTATGATTTGCCCATTTTCCTTTGGCTTAATTTTTTTGCCTTTTTGCACCTAAATTGTGCGTATTTTGTAAAACATATTTTCTCCCTTGGTCTCCGTAGTCATCCCTTTCCCTTTTCCTTTTCCAAATTACAAATTCCTTCCAACCAAGTAAGCCCTATAGAAGCACCACATTTTTCTTTCGCAGGTAAGAAAAGCATTACCTTTAATTAAAAATAATACTAACTCTAGTCCTTAGTATAAGAACTAGATAACTAATTTGTTAATATTAAAAAATTAGTTAAACTAATTACTTGTAATAATAAGTGCGGTCTTCTCAAAAATATACTTGTTAAAAGCTTTTAAGATGCATAATCATCATAAGGACTATTTTGAAAAAAATAAATAAATAAACATAAAAAACAAAGTGGATTAAAATCTTATAATTTTGAACTAACTCTAATGTTTGGGACAAGAGGTAGCAAGTGCTATGAAAACCCATTTCTGACATAGTGTATTAACCTCATATAACCACGTCAAATACCTATCGTTAATTATGTCTCCTGATCAATTATACTAGAAATTGTAGACTTGTTTTCTAAAGAGATGCTAATTGTTATAGTAACATTATAATTATTAGAATCATGGATCATGAATGACATTAAGAGAAAGTGAGAAAAGGAAACTATTATTAGTTTCATAAAAAATGTTAAGAGAAATTATAATCCACCTTTTCACGCCTTGGAAGGTCCTTAAAGTTCTAACTTTATTTGTATAATTTAGCTTTATAACTCTTTCCATTTCCTTTATTTAGATTAAAGAGTACGTAACTATAATATTAGCAATTAAAAATTAATTTAGTATAATCCATCCCCACATGTATAAAATCATTACGAATATTTAGAGGTATATTGTCTGTCCCAAAACTTCAGAAAAGCGAGTCATATTTGGACCGTGAGAGAAAGATAAGGATGAACGAACCATGCAAATTTATAAAGACCATGAAAAGAAATCAAATCTATCCCTAAGAAATCACGCCATCTCTCAAAGAACGCACACCACATAATGCCTAACTCGATTGATTGCCTACTTGACGTTCAAAGCAAAGCATTTAATAAGGAAAAGTAGAGCGCAGAATTCTGCAGATTTGAAAGGAGAACGTACTCGGAACTGAAGAACTCATAGAGTCTGCCTTTTTGTGAAAAGACTATCACAGCTACTTGGGCGTCACATAGGACCGATAGCTCGTAGGCTTTCTTTAAAAGCCCATTTCTTCTCTTTGAAAATGTCACTTGTCTGCTAGCTGCGTTTTCAATTCTTTTCATCTCAATCTTCCCTTTTCCCATCTCCTCCTGATAGATAGATGCTGTTAGATTCCAGTCTTAAGCCTGGATATTGCACCAGACAAATCTAATAAAAGAATTTAGAAAAGAGAAGAGCGGGAATTAAAGATTTTTCAGACATATCTTCCCTTATGTTCTGTTCAGCCCCATTGGCCGAGAAATCAGACAACTAGAACTTACTGATATGAAAAGATTCCCAGTCTAGCAAAAGGGATACGATCGGACAGATACACATAAAAATGTTCAAAACTTTTAGTAGAAAATAAAATATAGTGCTTAAAGACTCCAAATGAACTTTTAGGAGACAGAGAGAAAAAACCACAATGACAGAAGAATCTGATTGTCGAATAACAAAGAAGAGACTTGAAATGTTTTCAAAGCTTTGGAATTAGCTTAAAAATCTGCTTCAAGAGGAGAAATATAATGTTCCGGGGTATTTCAGCAGAGGAAACCACAGAGATTCAAAGACGGAAGAGTTCATCAAAAGTGATATTCAAAACATATAATAGTTTTAACTTCGATCGTATATATATGCAGTAGAGCAGTACCGTAGAAATTTTCTAGGAAAATATTGAAGAAGAAACCCTAGATTCGGAGCTATGGCAACTTTGGATTCGGTCCTCCAGCTCTTTATTCTCAGGCCAAAGGCCAAAGAAACTCTCCTGTTACCCAAAAAGACGATGATGGGACTCCAAAACTCAAATATTGAGAAAGAGGACGAAGGTGACTGGGGGCCGACACAGAGAGAGAGAGAGGGGGGGTAGGGACGGAGGGGGAGAGAGAGAGATATCAGAGAAAATGGTTATGCTTCTAAATTCTAATGCCTGCGAATGTTGTCTCTGATTTTTGCCAGATTAAGAAAGAGGAATTTAAGCGTGCGTTTGAGAGGCGAGAAGAGTAATAATGAGTTAAAAAAGTGAAAGGGAGTGATGGTGGAGGATCATCTGCAACGAAGTGCGGGCCAAACCAGTAAGAAGACGACACGAGGGATCAATAAGAACGACATCATCACATGGCTATCTTTACGTGGCGGGTCAAATCGCTTCCTTTTTCATTTTCCACTTTCATCCTTGTTGAGATTGCGCTCTCTGGTCCTGGAATAATGGACGCCCTCCTTTTGGGATGAGAATTAAATTACATTAAATTATAAAATAAATAGATAATGCATGGTATTATAAAGACAGGCGGGTTCGGATAAACCGTAAACCTATAAACTAATTTTGTTTGGCATGGCTAACAGTTTCGGACCGCTTGACTAATATGGTAATACACTAATATGTCAGTTTTTGTACTTTAATATTTTTATTTTATTAAATTATGTGTAGTTTATATATAAATATTTATTTTTATTTAAATATTATTATTTTCAAGTTATATATGAATATTTTGTGTATTTTAATTAAATTATATTATGTTAATAATTATTATTATTAGATTGATCTTGGTTTAACTATAATTAGATCTCTGACCTTCATACCAGTGTTGTCTCAGCTAATTTAGGGTATGTTTGGATCAACGTTTGCTGATCCAAAAGCGGCTTAAATTTTAAAATAAACTAGGTTTGCAGTGAGTGTCTATTTGGCAGAGCTTGTAACTCACTGGGTTTATGCATTTTTAAGCTATCTGAACGCCCAATTAAAATAAGCTCTAAGAAGGAGTTTATTCATCTATCAGAAAAGCTTATATTAACTATTCTGCAATGTCAGAGAACGAGATTCCTTTTTTTTCTCTCCCATTTGCCTTTTCCTCCCCCGTGCTCACTTTTTTTTTTTTTCAACCCAGAACTCCCACTTTATATATGCCTTATTTTTTTCCATTTCTCTAGTGTTTTCAAATTTAATTCACTTAATCAATTTCACTTATTCATATTAAATTAATTTAAATTTATTGTATTATGTCAATTTATTTTTTTTATCATGTTTTACTTTATATTTAAAATATTTGTTATGATTTCTATAAAGTTTTCAATTTTAATTCACTTATTAAATTTCACTTCTTCATTATATTATCTCAATTCTTCTTTTTTTCATGTTTCACTTTATATTTAAAATATTTTTTCCTCTAAAATTTTAAAATTCAATTCACTCATTAAATTTGACTTCTTCATATTAATTTATTTTAATTTCATTGTATAATGGGAAGTCATTTTTTTATTATGTTTCATTATTTATTAAAAGTCATACCCATTTTGGTATTTTTCAACTAAACTTACTTTTACTCAATTATGATTCAAACAACTTTTTACTAATTTCACTTTTATAAACTAACTTTTCTGAATTCCAATCCAAACACAATTCAGCTTATCTAATTTAATTTTTACCAATTTCACTTTTTTATAAACTATTTTTTCTATAAGTTATTTTTCTAATCGCTGATTCAAACAATCACTTAATCACTCATCATGGCATTTTTAGTGTACACACCGCTTGCCAACTAGTGCCTTGGTATATGTCATAAAGTGGTTGATAACTTTGATGCCCTCGTTCGCCTCAATGCTCAATTTGTAATGCGTAATTATCCAAGAAAGCCGTAATTACAATAGGATTTATAGAAACATCGTACTTATATAAGTCAGAAATGTTCCTTGAACAATACAAAGAGGATGTAATCTTATATCTATTGATAAAAGTAAAGAATGACCGAAAGGATCAAGAAGCTAACAAATTAAAAACAGTGGTTTTATAAGGAAAATCATTTTACAGTACTTATAGTATTTCTTAATTTTTAATTTGGTACCCTTTTTTTTTTCTTTGGTTAAACACTGTTGGCTTTTGCATAAAGACTAAGAGTACTAACAGCAAAATTACATAGACTAATAGACTAATGGTGCTAACAAAATAAAATTAAAGTGTTCAATTAAAAGGAAAACACATAGTGACTAAATTAAAAATTGAGAAAAACTATAAGTACATACAAAATTATTTTCTTTTTATATAAAGTAGCGACGAGAACAAGTCAAAGGGGCAAATCATTTTATATCTAATTACAATACAAAGTATGGTCTTTGTGGAATCAATTTATTAACATTATTCACCCATCCCAATATTATTATCGTCTAAACACACTTAACTGTAGAATTATGATAGGATCAGTGTTGGTATGATCGCATCTTTTTACCCAAAAGGAAAAAAGTTAACAACACTAGTCAAAGAGGGCTTATAATATAAAGTGGCAAAGCGATCAACACATAATACTCGTTTATATTGGTTTGTCTCATTCACAAACCAATATGTAATTAGCTTTATCAAAATTAAATTAGTTTTCATAATGTGTATATAGCCTTCCCGAATATGTAATTATCTTCCTTGATACGACATATAAACCAATACGCAATTACCTTTCCTAAGATATAGGTAGTTTTCATAATTTGCTAGTGGCCTCCCTGACTATACGATTATTTTCTCTTGAAACAATATGCAATTAGCTTTCACAAGGTGAAAATAATCCCCTTGAATTTGTAATTACATTCCCAAATATAAAATTACCTTTTTGAGCGTGCAATTTTCTTCTATAATGTACAAGCAACCTTCCCAATATGCTTTACCTTTCATAATATAATTTGGTCTTTCTCATATTACCCTTGTTTACAATGAAGGATCTCATGCATGGTGATTATGTCAGGTCCCATTCCCTAAATAAATTTTAGTAGGAGATTTATGGTCAGTTTCTTAGTTTTTGACATAAAGATAGTATAGTAATTCAATAAAAAAGAACAAGGACTAATACCATTTTTAGTTTTTGAATTTTGATTTCATTTTAGTTTTTGTTTCCGAAATTTAAGACAAGTAGTTTTAGTCTCTGAAATAAGTTTAGGGACAAAAATACTACTTTAGGGATCAATAATCTTTAGATGGTCTAAAATATATAAGGTTAAATTTTAAATATGAAAATTATTAATTTTAAATGTCAAAAGACTAAAATTAAGGAAAAATTTTAGAAATAGAATTTTAAAATTATCATTTCCCAATTCATGCATCTAAAAGTTGAAAATGACAAAGAAGGAAATGGGGTTTGATATGGTATGTTACAAATATAGTTAAATAACTAAAATACCCTTGTATCATATTTGAAACATAGCTATCAAACTTGTCATTACTAGCGTATTTTTTATCATTAGTTATTTAATACATGTCATTGTCAGTTCATAACTTATTAACAAATAATTTATTATTATCAGTGTATTTCTTGTCATTTACTATTCAACATTTGTCATTGCCAAATCATAACTTGTTAATAAATTTTAGATTAATTAATCCGCAAGTCCTTATAGTTTCAATGAATTTTGAATCAGGTCCCTATAGTTTTTTTTTCTTTTTATTAGGTCTTTATATTTACCTTTTTTTAATTAGGTTCTTATATTTATTTTTCTTTTAATTAAGTCCTTATAATTTTAGTAAATTTTTAATCAGGTCCATGTAGTTTTAATTTTTATTTATTAATTAAATATAAGCTTAATTAAATAGATTAATACTGAAATATAAAATATTAATAATTAAATTAAATTAATAATTATGTAATAAAAAAGTAATAGAATTAATTAATTCAGGAAAATTTTTTAGAACAATTAATTTTTTTGCTGAAAAAATTAAAATCATTATAATAATTCAATATCTTTAGAATATTATTGTTTATAAACTAATATTAAATAATATATACTATTTTATGTTTATATAATAGTACTATTAGAATTCATAAAATAAAGAATAAAAAATTCAGGGACTTAATTAAAAATAAGGTGAACTTATAAGGACTTGATAAAAAGAAAAATAAATACAAAGACCTAATTAAAAACAGGTGAAAGTAAAAGGATCTGATAAAAAGAAAAAAACTATAAAGACCTAATTTAAAATTAGTTGAAACTATAAGGAGCTGTGGATTAATTATCCCATAAATTTTTTGATATAAGGCCATTTTAGTCATTTTAGTTATTTAATTACATTTATAAAATATCAAATCAGGCACTACTTTTTTTCTTTATTATTTGTAACTCCTATGTGTTTGAT